CACGTCCATCTCTGCAGCAGGAAGCCTGGGTGCTGCCAGCATCAGCACTGTGGCTGCAGGGAGCTGGACCAGGTGTCAAGGCCATCAGTGGATGCCTTGGGCCTTGTTCCTGCCTGCTCTGGAGGGGCCGATGACACAGGTCTCTCAGCCTCAGAGAGGCTCTTTGGGATAAACCAGGTTATTGTTCTGGTTAAACATGGTTATTGCTAGGGGTATACCAAGTTACTGTTTGGCCTTCACTGTTGGAATGCGATTTGGCTTAGTCTCCAAACCACTTCCCTCCTGCATCCACACCCGCATCCTCTTTGTGCTGGCTGATTTAGAGCTGGAAGTAAAATCACTTTATAGTCCTTAAGCGGAGACCCTGAAGACTGGACGTCACTTGCTGTCCTTCGTGGGCACCAGCTCGTGGAAAGAGCAAAGCCTTCTGTGTGGATGAATGACTGGGTGAGAGCTGCATGCTAGATGGGAAAATTGTACATTTTAGATACAAATTCATTTTAAATCAGAGTCATTCTCAGTCTCTTAAAGTAACTGTCAACTTTGCCTGTGCCACAAGGACCTGTTCTCAGCTTCTGCTGCCTTTTCTTCAGGATGACTGCCCTCATAGTAAAGGCACCGTCATTTGGTGCTCTTAAGCTCTGTGTTTAATATATATTTTTTTTAATGACCAGCTCAAAGTTTGAAAGAAAACCAGGTTTCTGAGGAAAGAGGAAAAACAAAGAGCAAGCAAACAGGTGAAACGAGGCTGGGGATTTAGCTCAGTGGCATAAGCGCCTGCCTTGCAAGTGTGTGGTCCTGAGTTCGATCAATGGTACAAAAAAAAAAAAAAAAAAAAAAAAAAAAAAAAAAAAGACAAAAAAAAAATACAGGTAAAAGCTTACTTATTTATCTATTTTCTTAGCTCAATGTGCAGTTATAAATTTCCTTGCTGTTCTTAGTCAGGCAAAAAAATAAATATTCATCATGATGAGGGAACACCAGGCAAATTCCCATAGTTTCAGTGAAATCAGAGCAAGTAACCCACTACATGCAGTCTCCAACCAGAAGGTTTACTTAGGGCGTGGATTTTTATGGCAAATACTGGTGATTAGTTGGGAAGTTGAGCCCCACTGGCTCCACATACAGTTATTTATCTACAGATAAATAAGTCAGCATCGCTCAGTTTGGGGGGAATCACCTGGAAGAACAAGCCTGGGCTGGTGGGTGAAGGGATGGTTATCTTAGCATCCCAGGTGACTAGAACTGTCACCATCTCAGCAGTGTCACCCTAATGACTCTTATACAGCCCCCGTGCCTGCCTTAGGTACAATGACACATCTTCAGATGAGCATTTTCCATATGAACCGCAAGCTTTGCACTCACAAGTCCACAATACTTTGGACAGACATGAAACAAACCCTATGAGGAAAATTTCTTCCCTCTTCCCTCTTCCTCTCCTTCCCTCTTTCCTGTCCTAGACATGCGCTCTACACAAAAAAGATGAAAGTGAAGAATAAGGAAACAGAGACACCAGGTGAAGGTGACACTGCGTGTGCCTAACCCACCTTGAGGACTGTAAACCAGGCTTCTTTAATGTTTCAGACTCTGTTTGCATTTTCCTGAAACCACACACTGTCTTACAGACGATCCTTTTTCTCTCAGCTGATGACCTTGCATCAATTTTATCTTAACTTTACTGAGATTACTGTCTTATACTCCAAAGACAAGTTAAGGAAAAGCCTGGATAATGAGGCTGATGAGATCACACACAAAGTCCTTAATCACCACCGCTCCACAGGGCTGTGAGATCAGCAGCCCACGGAAAGTGGGGGAAACAGGTGTGAGGGTGATTGAGCCGTGTGCATATCTGGGGAGCTGTGAATACCACTGGCTTGAGTGGTGAGTGGGGAGTGGCCATCTGCATGTTTAGCTAAAATGTTTGCTTTTTTGTAGATTGCTTAAGATGGCCAGACAGAAACTTTTGTCTCTTCTGTATTCTTCTGGTTTTTCACAGCAGCAGGGCATCATAGAACACACGTCTTTAGGTATTACTGCAGTGGACTGACCCGTCTGGGCCTTATCTGATGATGCTCCCCAGGAAACTCAGAAAGCAGGTAAAACGTTAATGGCATCCTCAGAAATCCTCTCCCCCAGCTTCTCCAACCCTGACTCCTGAGATGGACTGCGTGAGTTCAGAGGGCCCACCACTCTCACCTCTGCACCTGACCGGTATCTGGGAGATTATCTTCCGTGCTGGAGAGCTTCCTGCCCTACCTCCATATGTCGCACCTGGCTGGTCCAGTGCATTCTCAGTGATTCTGGGAGAACCTGCCTGCTCCTTCAGACTGTCCAGTTGTCTGTGGTCATGCTGAGGGATCCAACCAGCTTCTCTTGTCAGTGCCTGAATGTCCATTCTGGAGACTTCCTGGGGGAAGAGATTAAGGAAATTTAGTCATTTTGCTTTATTGTGGGCCTTGGCGCCTTGTCCAAGTGAGACATTTTTGACATCCAGTTGCCATGGGAGCACTCTAAGAGGTGACCCACAGTATCACCTTTTGCAACAGGTACAAGGACTCCAGAAGATGAGAAATGTCTACACTGGCAGGCACAATTCTGTATGTTTGCCCTGGGAAGGCACACACCTCTGTACATTTTATGTACTGTGTTTCTTTTCTCCCCACCCTTCCTGGATTCTAAAAGAAAAGCTTTCAGAAATAAGATCATTATAATGTCCCATGACTAAATTTCAGACAATTAAATTTTTATTAAAGCCAATTTCTCATGGAGGATACCTGGCCTGCTTGGAATGTGACTTGGTTGTCCTGGAGCTCCCCATTTTCTGATTTAGAGGAGCAAACACTGTAACATTTCTTACAAATTTTGAGATACCAGAGCACTAATAAATGTGTGATTAATAACATTAAATTCATAGAATTTAATTTTGATGAATTAGTCTCAAGTTTAAGATTTATAAAAAAGAAATCATGATGATGTGTTTTGATCAGCGATAACCAACTTTGAGCTGGTTATAATGGGGCCTTCCTTTAATTTGATGTGAGCATGTGATAAAATAAGAAAATGTTTCCTGTCATTACTGCACTGAGCCAATTAAATATTTCTTTACAACAGGATTTGATGTCTGTTTATTTTTAACAGAATATAGCTCATTTTAATGAATTTTTAAAATCTATTTCTGTGCATAGCATTGTTTCAAATGTAGTCCCTAGTCTTCAGGATGTCATAGCATACTTTTAAATATATTATAAATGCACATTTACAAACAGATGTAACACAAAATTATGCTCACATATACAGCAGTACTTTGGAACATGAAAATTATTTGATCTGTAATTATGCTTACTTTTAATAATATAATTAATAATTGAGCAACAATCAAGAACGAGGCTTTTTATTTTAAAACAAGAAGAGAACAAAAGGATGACACAGAATTTCAAAGCAACATAGTAGTAGATTAACACTGGTTAATCCCGCATGCTGTTCTCTTCAGAGAAGGGGCTCAGATCCCCGATGCGGATGTGGACAGTGATCAAATGATGAAGTCCCACTCCTGCCTCATGGAGCCCTGATTCTTTGAGAAGATGCTTACCTCAGGGTCCACGGAGTAACATCTTCCCCATCGTGAGCTGGGTAGGAAGATACGTGGGAGGGAAGTGTCCCCCGTCTGCATCCAAATTGCAATCACACCCCCTTCTCAGGATGCTCTGCTCCCAGGGCCAAGGGATGCTGAGCCTTGCGGCCCAGTGGCTGCAGGCAGCAGCCCAGGTGACAGGAAGCCCAGCTCACAGGAAGCCCTGACCTTGGGGCCGTGATGGGCCCGTGGCTGCAGGCGTCCCTCAGAGACTGTGGTGCTGCTGAATCCACAGTCAACGCAGGTAGGGGCTGCTGCTTGTTATCTGGAGAGAGAGCAGCTCCTCTTGTTCCGACATTATTTCAGAACAGTGAGGCCACGGAGCACGGCGCCTTTCACACATGGCTCAAATACTGCCTGTTGGTTGGGGATAACACTTTCCTGTGTGACAAACTGATAATGTCTCTAGGGGCTGGGGATTTAGCTCAGTGGTATAAGTTCTATCCCGTAAGGAAAAAAAAAAAAAAAAACCTCAAATGACACTGTTTCTAAAAAATTTGCTGGCTGTGTCTAAACCATTAAAAAAAAAAAACAGAAACAGAAAAAGCCATGTTTGCTAAAGCTACTGGAGAGTTAACACTTCTTCTGTGCTGCAGGATCTCAGCCTTTGATGTTAAAAGGCACTGCTCAGTTTTCTAACTAGAATTTTACTTTTAGATTCAGATTTTTTTTCAAAATTTTGTTTGTTGTATTTTCTGAGACTTAGCAATGTTTTTGACAGTGGCATGCTTTAAAGATGTTCCCTTTGTCCTCAAGGGTGCCAGCTGTCCCCTCCTAGAAGGGCATATGCTTCTTTCCCTGGCAGCCCTTCATACCCTGCGCATCTCCTCAGAACCCAGTTCCCTTTTGAAACACCTGATACTCCAGTGACTCTCAGGACACCCACAAAAAAAATGCAAACTCATATATTTCCCAGAGCCTTCGATTTAACTGCTCCTGTTTACAAAGAAACCCAGGGCATTTACTGCAGGGCAATTTTTGTAAGTTCTGTGCCCACTCACCACTGCTGAAAACGAGCAAACTCTTGCTGAATCAAGCAATGTGAATTATCTGAGCAGGTTCCGTGACTGCATCCTATATTTCAGTTATTTCTCTAATCTGTCTACCCCCATAAAATATTTTAAATTATTTTCCCATATCAAATGCACTGCCAGGCATGACCTACCATAGGAAAATCATGCAGATAAATTAACACGATCAAAATCTCTAATCAGGGAAAAATATTTGTTTTGTATCCAAACATTCCTTTCCATTTGGCAGAAGCAAGCAGCTTGTCGCTTTTAATTCAGCATTAATTTCGAACAGTTTGTTGGGGAGGAAGCAATGTGGAAGTAGGTTCTGTCCTCTAAGTGGGAGGAAGTGATGGAGCTGATGGGGATAATTTTTTAAAGTCTCTTGTTGGCGTTTCTGTTGGCAAATGATTTATTAGACCAAGTGAGGTAAAATGTCAAGGAATAGATTTTCTTTTCATGAAATATCAGAATCCATCAGAGCTGATAATGCTGAGTCTAATTGTGACAGCTCTCCTGTTGGAACAGCCTCACCTGGTGCTGCAAGTGGGGGCAGGATAATCACGCACTCATAGCCAGAAGAGCTACTGAGGATGCTTAAACTCAGCTTGAGGTTAATGACGGCATCAAGGGAGGAAAAAGGGACTGCACTGGAGAAGCGCACTGAACATCTCCACACTGTGCACATACTTTTAGGACAAAATCCCCTACTTTGTATGCAGCACCTGTGAAGAAGCAGGCACAATCAGCAGTCAGAGCTGAAGGCTTAGCTGCACCCCTCTTCAGAACGAACAGAACAATCACTGCAGTCAGAAAGTCAGTGAAGAAGAAGCTTTGAATGGTGGTGTAAGTGAACCAGTCGTAGCAGACAGTGGGCGCACTCTCCAGCTGGCACCATGCTCCTCATAGGAACCATACTCTCCGTGGGACCATTCCCAGGTAAGACCACCTGCAAAGCTTGCGTGGGCTGTGGTCAGGTTGTGGGGCCCTTAGAATTTCTCCCTACCTGGACAATGCTTATCTCGGAGAATCAACATGATGTGTGCAGAGTTCCTCTCCGGTCAACTGAACCTGCAAAATATTTAAGTGAAATTAATCTGAGGAGAAATAAAGAGTGATGGAGATGGCTCTGGGTCCTTATCTGATCTTAGAAGGAAGGAACCCAGAGGGTTCTGAGTGGCCAGGTGTGTGAGAATGGGGTCACTACATCTGCCATGCGGGTACGGAGGAAACCAGGGAAACGTGAATTCACAATGGTTTTTGTAATTACCCAGTGGAGGGCACCAGACTTTTCCAGTGGCATGCATACAGGTAAGTTATACTTTGGTTTTTATTTCCAAAGCATTGCATGAGCACATAAATTCTGTCTGGCATGCTTTTTACTATTGTTCATAATGGGATTCACCTACCGGACTGCAGGTGCTATATGGGCAGGGTTGCCTCCGCATTTCTCTCTGCTGTGTTTCCAGTTCCTCCCACATTGTCTGGTCAGAGCAACAAGAGAGGAAACGGTGTTCACCCATCGGGAGCTGGATTCCCTAATGGGAGATGTAGCCAGGTAGTCCTGTCCAGGGGGAGCAGGGATTGGAGCAGACTCAGCTCAACACCTGACTGGAGGGACAACACCAAGCAAGGGACAACCCAGACTTTCCTTTCTGTCTCTCGGTTCTCTCACCAGAGCCTCCCAACTGCCTAGGTGGAATCTGAAGCCAGCTGGCAGGGACTTTGGGTCCTGAATTGTCCTATGCAGCGCTGAGCGTGAGCAGGTGTGTGACTGCCTTATATGCCCAGCTAAGAGCCCAGGAAACAGAGAACTGGGGTAGCAACAAGTGTGGTTGACTGGAATCCGGGGCACACCCCCAGAGCAGAGCACCATTCTCATGTGCTCCTTTCAGTTGGAAACCCCTGGCACTTAAACTCTTTTTTGTTTGGGGAATTTTAAACAGTATGATAGTACCCTGATTTTGCAAGATGTTGAGTCTTATTGACAAAAACAATGAAGATTTTTTTTTATAAGTATATTTTAAAAATAATTCTTGCTAATGAAAGTTTATTTTTATTAGAAGGACTGGCCTGCCTTTGAAGATGATCTTTCTATAAAGCCATCAGTGCTGCTGCCATCAGTGAACTATGTAAACTTAAACAAGAACCAGACAGCGCAACCTCTGTAGTGTTCCCAGCACAGAACCAAAAGTAAACATATTCACTTTGTATTTATTGTAAAACTGCTGACTTGAGCTAAAAAAACAGCTGCTGGCCTTGTTTCTGAAACCCCCACACCGTCCCCTCATCACCGCGCCCACGCTTTACGGAGCTGCATCTCCCTTGGCTGACATTTTCTGCCAATAGGAAGTGAGAAATTTGAACGCGAAGAGCGGAACCCAGCAGCGTGGCTGACATCAACTGACCTATATACATCGTTTCTTTGTAAATACCACCCACCTTTATCTAGAGGAGGGGGTAGGAGACGGTGAAACGTTGTCTGGATCATTTTTCTTTCCTTTGGACAGGCCAGCTGTGTTAGTAAGTGCGAATTTTCTGCTGGACAGAACAGCAATAACAACCACTGAGAGCTTAGAGACCTTCTTCTCCGCAGGTCCCGCAACTTATACCATGGTTCTGCTGTCCGTAGTTCTGCTTCCCACGGCTTCGGTTACGCAGGGTCAGCTCTGTAGTTCCAGAATAGAGCACTTTGGAAGTGGCCTGTTCCTTGGTTTGCATTCTGTGCTTTCCTGACCCCGGGGCTGGAGTGCCGCGCCATCCCACTCCTTTCCCTGAGCCAGGAATCATCCTTCTGCCTGTGCACCTGTGGTGTACCTGCTGGCCACCAGTGAGCCACTTAGCAGCCACCTCAGTACTAGACTGACCACCAGGGCAACATGGTGCTTGTGATCAGGCGACCTCACTGTATTTTACTTAATAATCACCCCAAAGCACCACAGTACTGACTGATGCTGGCTTTCAGATGGGCCAAAGAAAGCCTTTTAAAAAGTGAAGATAAGAAAATTCTTGACTTAACAGGGGAAGAAAAAGATCATAGCTTGGGTTGGACGGCAGGAATGAATCTTCTGTCCATGAAGCGGTGGAGGAGGAGAACTCCAGCAATGCTGTGTTTTGTTGTTTGTGTTGCACCTCAAGACACAAAAGTAGTGACCAGAGTGCATGAGTATTTACTAAGGACAGAAACACAGATACACGTGAATCCTGGCATTGTGTATGTTTTCACTCATCCACTCAATGTACCCCCAGTGTAGGAGGGAGAATGATTACGTATGCATGAAAGCTTATTTACATACGCAGAGGCTAGATGACTTTCTCAAGTGTGCGAGTCCAGGCTTGTAGGTCAAAGGGCGCCTGTTTCCTGATCTCTAACAGCGCTCTTCATGCCCTCTCCCTTGGTCTTAGAACCAGACACTCACTGCTGGGCTAGTGAAGGTTGGGGAGTTTCGTTTCAGGAGGACCCCTCAGAATAAAGCTCATTCGTATCACCCCAGGGGTTACAGGACAGCTGTTTAATGAGCATTGCTCTCTGTCTAAATACTTCCTCCCCTGTGTGATTGTAGTCAGGAACTCCAGACATAAAGTCCTGTGCAAATTCACAAATTCTCCAGACTTCTCACTTTAGTAACAACAGCTCCAAAATAGTCTCAGAGGCTTGTTCCTCACCCACTTCTGGAATTGTCTCTCATGCCTATGCTGCTACAAAAGAGCTCCAAGCCCAGGAAGCTGCATCCCCAAGCCAGTCCAGAGTCACCTTTTGTTCACTCTTTCTAAATAAGCGAGCAACTCACAGCCTCAAAATTTCACCAAGTCCTCCATGCTGCCAGGAGACTGACAGGAACCTTGAGCACAGTCACTTTCTGCTTTGTCCTCTTGTCCCTACAGAGAGGGTGGCTCTGCCAGCTGGATTGGAAACCAGTGTGTGTAGCCCAAGAAGAGACCCCGCCATGTGAAGCAATCACATGTCTGCGGTAGAGAGCCTCTTGGTTACTTTTCTCTCATTGCTGAGTCAAAATACCCAACACTCAAAATTAAAGAAGGAAAGATTTATTTGGCTCACAGTTGTGGAGCTTTCAGTATATAATCAACTGACTGCAAGGCAGGGTGGCACAGTACAGGGGCAGCACTTCAAGGCAGCAGAAGACAGCAAAGAGCAGAAGGCAGGAGGCAGTCTGTATTCCTCCCTTCTATTGTAATCAGTTACGCAGCCACATCCTCTCCATGCCCTCCTCCTACACAGGCTCTGGATGTTTGCAAAATGAGGACCCTGACTTCCTGCTAAGCCTCCTAGTTAAGCTTCTAAACTTCTCTGTCCTCAGGTTGACACAAAGAATCAACCATTACACTGAAAGAGACATTTTGGGGAAAACAATACTAAAAACACTTTGGTTTTATACAATCTCCATCTCACCCACTTTGCATCAGTCTAGACCTAAATAATGAAGTCAGGCACTTGGCAATCATGAACAACCAACATTTACAGTGCACTCTGTTGCACAGCTCTGAAGTTTGGTGAGTTAGGTAGCCTCAGTGCATTTTCAGCTCAGGGTATGTCCAGTTTATGATGGATTTATCAGGACACAAGCTGGATAGTAAATCCAGCAGCATCTATATTTCCAGGGAAATTCTTTCCTCATAGTCCATGTCGTGAAAGGAAACAGTAACACAGAGAAGAGAAATAGCCAGCCTGAACGTAACCCCCTCTCCTTATTCATGGGAGAGTATCATAATCACCTGTAGACCTCGACTGTCTGTGTGTTTGTCCACAGATGCCTCAGCAGAGCTCCATGGGACCAAGTAGAGGTGTTGTGCAAGACCACCTGGCACTGCCACCTTGGCAAAAATGAATGAAAGTCCACATGCAATTGGGAGCAGATGGCCTTGCATTTGTATCCAGAGTCAACTTATTACTGTATCACCTAGAGAGAAACACGACATCTCTAAGCCCTGATTTTTTCTTTGTGACGTTGGAATGATATGTCAGAGAGCTGACATGAAGGTTACATAATGATGTGTTAGGGAAATTAATCTGAGGATGATTCATAAAATGATGCGATGGAAGTTATTCTCCTTGCAATTTAAGCTCCATGAAATCTGGAATAGAATTTGTCTATTTGTTTCTTTTTACTACTGCTGTATTAAGATATAGACATAAACTAGGTACAAATGCACTTTTCTTTAAGTGAAAGTCTGGACTGTAAGCCTGACTGCCATCCAAGCCATAAAGGACCCATACCCTTACCATTTTGTTGCTTAGCCATTTTTAGGGAGTTTTCAGGACTGGTCCACAATGAGACTTTGCATGTCACTTATCTGCCACCTGGAAAGGGAACCAAGCAAGGACCTGACATGCTCCTTGAAATGCATGTTCCAGATCACTGATGCATTATTCTGCTGCCACAACCCAGTCATTCAACCTTACTTAGCTGCAAGAGATCCTGGAATATGTGGTCTGCATCTGAGTCATTTGTTCAATAATAAATGTTCTATTTCAAAATAAACACAAAGCAAAAAGGAGAAAATATGCTGGGGACAACCAGACATCTCTGCCATAAATATAATGATAAGCACAGTAATATTGGCCCAGAAAAATGCAACTAATACATTATTATTATATTACTATTTTTCTTAAAAAATCAATATTTAAGACTCTCAGAAATTCTATCTCAAGCAAAGTTTTGGAATTGTTTCACCTCATCCATCTCAGATTACCCAAGGCTAAGGACGTAAAATGGATACAGGCATCAAGCATCTTAGCACATACCATTCAGTGTCCTTTAGCACCTTCGCAGTATTATAAAACCGTAACCTGCATCTGGCTTCAGAGTATTTTCATAGCTCCAAGGAGGCTGTGCCCTGATTCAGAAGGTGACTTCTAGTATGGGCTCTCCTTAGCCCCAGCGATCACCACTAGTCTGTTTTCTGTGTCTGTGGATGTACCTATTCTGAATGTGTCAATTAAATGAAGTCTTATAGTGTATGATATTTTGAATCTGGCTTATCTGGTGTAGCATTTCAATATATTAATTTTTAAACTCAGCAACCAACCAGCTCAATTTAAAAATAAAAATGTACAAATGACTCAAATAGATATTTCTACAAAGACCCTATACAAATGAGCAACAGGGACTTATGGGCAAAACTATTCAACACATTTAGTCCTTAGGGAAATGCAAACCAAGACTAATTTATTTTTCAACAAAGTGAATCATTGTGGATAAAGTTTGATTAATAAATATGGGGAAACTATGACTCTGTTGTTAGATAGTTGAGTCACAATTGCTAGGTCCATGCTGCAGTTAATATGTTCACAAGGTTAGAGATGGCTTTCCTGAAGGCAATCCAGGAGAAGAGGGCTGAGAGAGGGTTACTAGGGCATACATATGTAAGGTCCACTCACCACCCAGTCAGTTCACACTTGTCCACGTAGTTATCAGTCTTCATTCTCCAATTAAAACACACTGCACTTCAGGGACCCAGCTGAGTACTACTCAGTTGCAGGATAGAGAAAGCTTTTATACAAACTGCAAAATCCCTGAGGAAGGTATCAGGAAGAGATCTGTGGCACAGAGCAAAAGCAGCAGCTGCCCCTGTTCTGAGTTAAGTTTCCCTGGAATCCTCAATCCACTCAGCTTTCTTAAGTGACCAGGAAAGTGACTCTTTATGTCTGGTGGAGCAGCTTTAAAGAAAGTCAGTCCCAGTCCCTGTGTGACCCCTAACACTTTCACTTTTGACTGTCAATGCAAAACCAAACTTGTTGTCCACACTATTAACAGTAGTGTGTCTAAATTTAGAATGGTTTTAAAAATAAGAGGTGCTACCCAGAGCAAGCTAGCACCATTTAAATGAGCACAGAATCATTCTAACTCAAACAAAATCTGAAGCTAGGTAAGTGAGGTTTTATTCACCACCTCCTCGTGCTCCCACCCACGTGCACCTTTGGTCCCAGTGAGTTGTTTATAGTTCTCTCCTTTCACTTTTGCAAATGTTTCCGTAATAAGTTATTTCACTACCCCAATTATTAGCTTCTTTCAGGACCTCTGTTTCGTGGTGATGCTTTGCAGAACCCACCTACTGGGCAGGTTTAGAGGTGCAGGACTCTGCCCTGGCTCTAGGGTCTTTGAGGAGGAAGCAGGTTGGAGGCTGATACCCTGGCCCCCCTGCATGGTTCACACCAGGGTTGATGCCGGACAATTCCAGCCCAGTCTGAAATGAGTCCTCTTATGACAGAAGGGGCAGCACTCACCAAGGGACCTGACAGTGGGACAAAGCTCAGCAGCAAAACTGAACTTGAAATTTTTGAAATTTTATTCAATTATTTAAACTGTCACCAACAGTAATAATATATATATATATATATATATATATATATATATATATACATACACATATATATATGTATGTATACAAGGCAATACTGTTATACACACTTGTAAGAAAAAGTAAATCACACCCATCACCTTATTACTTGCTATTTATTTGTGCTGAGAACATGTAAGTGTTTAGGTTAAAAAGAAAAAAAAAAAAAAAAAACAGTGATACAGTGAGCATTTCATTCATTAACACTTTGCCATGACATGGGCTCCACCTGCAAACTCATGAATACAAGGCTTGGTTCTGAGGTTCCCTTCACCGGCTCAGCTTCAGACAGAGAGGGGGCTCCCGAGTCTCGCAGGTAAAGTCCGTCTGAGGTGCCTCAGTGGTTCTTTGAGAACCCAGGCCTCCACGTGGCCAGTCCTCAGGAAGGACAGCTTCTGACCCCGTCAAAGCTCTGGGGAAAACTTAGCTTCTGGAATTGGCTTCTGTTGGGACCTGGATGCACCTGCCTGGGCTGCTTTCAGCAAATTCTTCAGTGTCATGGGCTGGAAGTCCCACCTGAGAGAGGTCACAGGTGCTGTCAAGCTGACTTTGCATAGGATCAGCCTCTGGGTGCCATGAAGAGGGAGTGAGGAACAGAAGCTGAAATCATCCAGCCCATCTGTTGTGGCTTTCATCTGCATGTTGTCCCTTCCCCAGGCTCACGGTGGCCTACAGGATGACAGAGCACATGTCCTGCCACCCTGCCACCGCTGGGGAGAGCCAGCACCAAACAACAGACACCTATTAAGACCACAGTACCCCTGAGGACTGTAAATATATGAGCTCGTCACAGCTGAGGGACGATCAGATTCCCAGTTATAGAATCCTGAGCAAACTAATAGTTCTTTTTAAATCCCTTTTGTTTACAAATGGTGTGGTCTGTTATGCAGTAAAAGTTAACTGACATGCACGATAAATATTTATGGAATGAATGAATAAGTGAATGGGTAATAGCCTCAGAGTGTGCAAATAATAGACATCTGTGTGTACCTATTTACTTTTGCACACATATATAAACCAGTGTATTATACATATGGATCCCCTTCTGGTACAAGCCAAGGAAGCCCTATTCCCTATTAAAATATTCATTTGTCACAGGAATAGCATAGAAATTCCCGTGCTGTAATTATTGGCATAGATATTTATAGCTTTGAGGGATACAAAAGAGTGTCAAGCATTAGCTCAGGACCTGACTAGGAATGAAGGACTGGGGACACACCTGGGGCCACTCAGCAGTGACCATAGTTAGAGCGCACAGGAAGAGACTGGACATGGAACCAGGGAAATAAAGTGTTGAGAAGCAGCACGCCTGCCTCAGTCCATGGGAAGTAAAATCTGCACAACTGCCCCCCAGGAGTGTCTCATAGAAGAAGCCTGCAAGAAAACAAGGTGACTGGAACAGTGGTGGTGATTTTGGTGATGGTGGTGGTGGTCATGGTAGTGCTATTGGTGGTGTTGGTAGTGACGGTGGTTATGATGGTGCCAGTGATGGTGACAGTGGTAGCAGTGATGGTGATAGTGATGGTGGTGATAGGGATGGTGATGTTGGTGATGATGGGGGTAATGGTGGTGGTGGTGATAGTGGTGATGATAATGGTGTTAATGGTGGTATTTTTAGTGACAGTGGTAGAGACAGTGTTTGTAATGCAGAGGGTGATGGTGGTGATGGTGTGGATGGTTTTTGTGGTGATGATGATATTGGTGGTAGTGTTGATGGTGCTGTTGATGGTGGTGGTGCAGTGGAGATGATGATGGTGGTGATGCTGTTGTTAGTGGTGGTGGTGAAGGGATCGGTGGTAGTGATGGCACTGATAATGTTATTGTTGTTGTCAGTGGTGATTATGGTTATGGAGATGTAGCAGTGATGGTGATGGTGATGCTGCTGGTTGTGTTGTGGGGGGTTGGTGGTGGAGTGATTTTCTTGCTTTAAACATGAAACTCATGGCAGATTCTCACACAGAATGTGGCATGGCTCAGAGAAGGGATCTGGGCAAAGCTCAGTCCACTCCCTAATAGTCTTAACAACTTCCACAAATGCCATCGATGCCAATGGGTAAGTGCAACATCATTGTAAGACAAGCCAATGGGAGGAAAGTCCTCACTGGTGTTCAGCCAATTACAGCTGTTTTCATATATATTCGGTATCATCTGGTTTTCTAATGTAATGCTGACATGCTGCCTCTGTCCCTTTTTCATTCCATTTGGAAATTTTATATTACATCTCCATTTTCTTCAGAAGAAAGAATTACAGTAATTCATATCCCTAATAGGAAAATTACACAAGGCTGAAGTATAAAATTCATAATTTGTCCATATGCATTTCACAAATTTTTCTACTTTGGTAGGCATTGAGCTAATAATACCAATTATCCCTAACTTGTAGGCTTCTAGGAGATATTTAGATTTCTCATTTTAATCATTTTTAACAAAGGCAAAAGAGAAAAGGGCATAGAGATGCCAAAGTGCACACATCCTCATAGGCTGGCAGGTTTGTTTAAAAGGTATCACTTAAAACTAAAACAAAAATTATACAAGCATTTAAAGCTCCCAATGCCACTGATATAAATTGTAGTCAACTGCTTATTCAATTCTCTTTCCCCAGGGAAGAGAGAGAGAGGGAGAAGGAGGAAGAAGACAAACTTCTAAAAGGCAGTTTTCTTTGTGGGGAAATGGTTCTTTACATCCTCACCTGGCAAATATGTTCCTGCAGCCCCCTCTCTGCAGCGCACCTCACCCTGGCTTCTCTCTGATCAGCTTGCAGTCCCCTATGATGGGCACCAGGGCTGCAGTTGGCCTCAGAGTCCTCCACTGAGGAGCCAACACTGCAGTGCCAGGCTTCAGGCAGTGGGAGGTTCCATGGCTGATGGACCACTGACCTCATGGGAGGAGCCGAACCTAGAAGATGGGAGGAGGATGGGGAAGATCATCCAGGGATTGTGAAGCTGTGTTGGAGAGACAAGCACCACAGCGGGGGGCACTGCTTCTGCTGGGAGGGAGCTGAGCTCAGCTTGAGAGTGGCCAGGAGATGGTCCAGGGGGTAAGTCAGGAGAATACCAACTAGCAACCCCATACACCCTGCAGGACCTGAATCAGAGCAGCCTCGTCAGCCTCATTCCTCTTGTCTGTTACATTTGGGTTGCGGTTTTCCATGCCTGCATGTGGGAAGTGTTGTTTGACATTAAATTGGCCTAGAAACTGAAGCCTCCACTTTAGTGAAGGGAAATCTATTTGTCAGTCTATTGACTGAAGCTATTTGGGAAAAGTTACCAAAATATAAACTATTAGAACTCTTGGAGGTAGGATGAGGGTACTTTCAGTTTTTTAATCTTCATTTTTAAACACAGTATGTTCTAGTTATTTCCAAGTGACTGTAATCCATAGATTAAGTGTTTTTAAAAGAAAAGTGTGACAGTGTTTTTAAAAGGGGAAGAATGATGGAAGACGAGGCTGCAGGTTGTTCTCTCAGAGGGGTGAGAACTCGTACCCCCAGCTTGTACTCGTGAGTCCACCTCATAGAAAGTGACAGCTTCACCGCAGAGAGCAGCTCCTGTCACTTTAGATTTTCCTGGCTGAGGCCCACAACTCACAGACTCCTGGTCTCCATCAGAGCCCTGCAGGCCTGCACCACTGTTGAGTGGCTCCCAGATGCAAAGTATTTGCAGTAGACGGGCTTGGACACACACGTGGACCGTGCAGTGAGGTTGCAGGCTTGGCCACCGAGCGGCCAGGATG